AAAATTAGATAATGCAATCCTGAGACTGCCACAGTGTTAGCAGATGGAATTTTCAGAGGCCATCGAATACTTGTACGCGACTTTTCGGCGCTCCAGCACCACTCTGTAATTACGTCTGTTACTATGGTCAAAACCGGGAAGAACATATGCAATAATATCAGTACCGTTACTATTACTATTATTATTATTTACTAATATTATTATCATTATTATTATTGATATTACTATTACGGGTTTTCTAAGAGTAAGCAGTCAATTAGTTTATTTCGAAAAACAAGAAAAAATTATCTTAACTGCATATGCACAAAACACACACAAATTCAGACAAACAACATATTAAAACACTGGAAATTGAGTGAGAATGTTACTGTTTCTAGCAAAACAAACTAAGCAAATCCATTTTTCTCGTAGAAATTAAGAAAAATTTAAAAATACCAATAAAAACCTTAAAATCTTTTTATATTGAGTTATTTCTATTCATACTTATTTAATATGATCAGCTCACTTGCTCAGTTGATCAAATTAATTGCTATTTGCTTTATCCGATCCACACAAAAATTGATTCTGACAACGATGCAGAAACATGGTGTTCGAAACACAAAATCCCCAGGACCGGCAGGATCATGAGGCATGGCCTGAATCAAGCCAGTTCGAGCTATGTACACATATTTAACACTGTGGGCTTAGTATGCCTGTCTTTCCTGTAGAATATCCTTTCTTTCATGCTGCATATCTTCAATTAGTTCATTTCTAGTATTTTTGTTCGTTTTTTGCATCTATGCAATGCAAAAACGCATTTTGTCGAAAGAGTTTGTTTGTGTGTGTGTGTGTGCGTGTGTGTGTATGTGTGTGTGTGTGTGCCTGTATGTGCGTTTGTACCGACTTTTCATCTCGAGACCTATAAAGTTACCAGGCTGAAAATTTTAGAACTTAATCTAAGTGCATACACGGGCCCTCATTCTCAAAACGGACACTCTTGCCCACGTGGTTCCCATGAACGGACTTGCAACACGTACCTGCATCACGAACTTGCAACACGTAGGACTTAATGAGTTCAGATCCAGCCCCCAGCTGTGCGTGGTTTCCACGTACCGGCCCGTGAAATTTTTGGCAGGTAAGTTGCTAACCCGGGAATCAGAAAAGCTGGAAAGCTGAAATTTTAAGGAAATGTTTTCTCAAAGTCATGGTGTCCAGTCTCAATTCTTTTAGCTAGAAGCATCTGCCAGAAAAAATAACGCCATTTGTTACAAAAACCTGCGGGGAACTGTTCAAAAAATGCATTTCCGCACCAGCAGTTGGTGGGTGCACTGGCCAATTATTATTTTTTGACAGACTGCGGCAAGCGCAATAGCCATTCAAACAATGTCCATGGAGTAGGTAAGTGTGCACATTTCAGAGTAAACTTGGAGATATAGAGCATGAAATGGCTTGGCTCAAAGCTCGGTGTGTAGCTTTGTCGCAGTAAAATTACTGACATTGAAAATGCACACTGACTGAACACAGTAATTTTGGCAATAAATTATGTTACTCGTTTGTTATTCAATCGCACAACACACAGCAAACAAGCTTGATTTTTTGCTCAAAACGTAAATCACCTTGTGACCGTGGAATGTATGCAATTCTGCCGATGACTGCAAAAACTGTCATTTTAAAATTC